AAGAGTCCTAGTGGACGATCACTTAACCATGAACCAGCAATGTGCAGCAGCAGCAGCCAAAAGAGCTAATACAATCCTGGGTTGTATAAACAGAGGCATAGAATCAAGATCACACGAAGTATTACTAACGCTTTATAAAACCCTAGTAAGACCACACCTGGAATACTGCGGCCAATTTTGGTCACCATATCACAAAAAAGATGTTGAGAATTTAGAAAAAAATTCAAAGAGCAACTGAGATGATCAAAGGCCTGGGGACTAAAACATAGGAAGAACGGCTGCGGGACTTGGGTTTGGCTAGTCTAAAGAAAAGAAGAAATAGGGGAGACATGATAGCAGTGTTCCAGTATCTGAGGGGCTACCACAAAGAAGGGGGGGGTCACGTTATTCACCAAAGCACCAGAGGGAAGGACGAGAAACAATGGTTGGAAACTGATCAAGGAGAGAAGCAACCTGGAATTAAGGAGAAACTTCCTGAGCTTAGCCCCAGAAATCATGGGCGCTCCATCACCAGAGATTTTTAAGAAGAGAACAGACATTTACCTGTCCGAGACAGTATAGGTTCTCCTGCTTGAGCAGGGGGCTGGACTAGAAGACCTCCAAGGTCCCTTCCAGCTCTATTCTATTCTATTCTATTCTATTCTATTCTATTCTATTCTATTCTATTCTATTCTATTCTATTCTATATTCTATTCTATTCCATGCCATTCTATTCCATTCCATTCCATATTTTCTATTCTATTCTATTCTATTCTATTCTATTCTATTCTATTCTATTCTATTCTATGCCATGCCATGCCATGCCATGCCATGCCATGCCATATTTTATTTTATTTTCTATTCTATTCTATTCTATTCTATTCTATTCTATTCTATTCTATTCTATTCTATATTCTATATTCTATATTCTATATTCTATTCTATTCTATTCTATTCTATTCTATTCTATTCTATTCCATTCCATTCCATTCCATTCCATATTTTCTTTTCTATTCTATTCTATTCTATTCTATTCTATTCTATTCTATTCTATTCTATTCTATTCTATTCTATTCTATTTCCAGGAACAGCCAATGGTGCTTGAAGAACAGGCATGAATCATAGCCCCCAAAATAGGCAATGGAAGATAAATACCCCACCATATTTTTTTCTAGGAAGTGTCCATTCAGGAGGAATTCCACCCCATATGCACTACCATTGTGACTCCAGCTTATAACCAGTAAACCCCAGTAACCAATGTGATCACTAATAAACCCACAATGTTCTCAAACTGAGATGTTTATAAGCCTTCAAAGGAAGAGAATTCTCTCCAAATGCTACTAGGTAGAGAATCAAGATGGAAACAGATGCAGAGGTATAAATTCCAGCCTCCCATCAGGGTAGATGTAGGTTTGGGACAAGATAGGAGGTGGAACTGCTGCCTTTCGCATTCCTGGAGAACATTCTTGTCTAGTGGGTTCTTATCTGAAATAAAGTCACATCTTCCTGACCCACCAGGGTTGGGAGGAATGCTATGGGTCTCCTCTCCCAAGGAGGTCCATCTGATGAGACCAAGAAGAAGGGCCTTATCCGTGGTGGCTCCCTCTCTGTTATTTGAAGAACCCTCACTTCCTAGTCATCTCTACCCAACCCAGCAGGGTGGGGAGGGAGGGGATGTTATAGGTGCCTTCTCTTAAGGAGGTCCATCTAGTGGGACCAAGAAGAAGGGCCTTCTCTGTGGTGGCTCCTACCCTGTGGAACATAATCCCTGTGGAGATAAGATTGGTCCCCCACCTTGACATTCTTTTAAATGGCCCCCAAGACTTGGTTTTGCCCGTGGGTCTGAGGAACCCAGCGTGACATGGAGCCCATCAAGTGGTTTGTTTGATGGTAGTCACCAGAGAGGGGGGGGGATTTATTGGGGTTTTTATTTGGGGTTGTGTTTCTACAGGCGACCTAGACTCATAGTTGGGCAGTCATATACATTTTCTAAATACACCAGAAAACAAGGAAAAAGACCCATTATCCTGTTGCCAGTGTTTTGGCTGTCTTAAGTAAGAAAGCAAACTGAACATTAAGGAGGCCGTTCTTAACTGAACAAAGAGCAAGGGTTTTACTTTTCATTATCTCAATGGGAAAAAAAAAAACCATCCTAGCTTACTTCATGCATACTAGACCAGTGGTGGTGAACCCAGGGCTGTGGAGTCGGAGGAAATTTTGGGTACCTGGAGTCGGAGTCGGCAAACAATGCACCGACTCCGACTCCTACTAAATTTAGATTGGAATTAAAAAAAAAGCAAGTTTAAATGTCCCAATTCACAAAAGGTTATAATTAATGACTTCTCTACTGTAAGAATAAAGACCAATGCATGCAGTGCCTCACGTAACCGCAAAACGAACACGTTAAGTGACCGTGAAGAAGCATGCTTTTCATGTGCTTCACTATATGGCACGCAACGCACAATTAGGAGCGGCAATACTTATACTTTCCATAGTGTTGTGTTCTGCTGTTACAGGGAACGCA